GAATTACTGTTACATACACACACTCACTCCTGCACCACAAAATACTGTGAAATGTGATTTTGCTCACTATTTAATGTGCTGGCTGTGGGATCTTCTAACTCTTCTGATAAACTTTCATTTTGCTCAGTGAGTTTGCAGTAAAACCTGTTAAACACTGTTTTCTTCTTCAGGGTGAATGTGATGAAGCTTTGAACTATGCAGCACTGAGTTTCACTAATAAACCACCGTCATCCAGAGGAACTAGAAGACAACAGAAGCTTAAAGACGCTGAAGTTTACTCACAGATCAAACATCCCCAATAAAGCTGAGTTACTGAACGCTAAAGAATTTTCATACCTTTTACTGCTGATTACTCATAAAATGAACTGATGAAATTTGGTTACTTGGTTTGATGCACCGTGATCCAGTCTTAGTTTAGTTTTTAGCCAAAGACAGTCAGAGCAAGATGATAAATGTTTTTGCCTATGAATGCCTCTAACTTGTTTATGTGTGTGTTACAGTTTCTAATCTTAAACTAATGTCTGGAACATTTTGTACTGTAAATCAATCAACATGTTTTTATTTCTCACCAAACTTTCTTATAAACATTAAAGAACACTTCAAATTTCTAAAAAGCATTTTGCAGTGTTAGATTTTAAAAAGGACATGGTCTGAGTTATTAAAGTGTAAATGCATTTGTCTTTCTAAGCCAAGTTTGACAAACAAAACTCCTCCCAACACTGTGACAACACCTCCCCCTGCTCTTCTGCATATGAGAGACCAACCCCTGGACTGCTGACCTTTAACACACACAGAGCTGCTCTTTCAGTTCATTACCCAATATGAGTGTCTCCTATGACTTCAACTTCAAAAGCCTGTTTTGCTGGACCTGCATGTCGCACTATTTAAATTATATAAAGCTAGAAAAGCACCAGTAAATAAAGCCCCTGTTTGCTTAATGTTTACTTCACCTTGTTGTTATTCACCATCTCACTCCAATACATTATAACAGTCATGGCCCTTATTGTAAATGGCATGCAAATTTGATTATGATTTTACATGTGAGCAGTACCTCAATGCACTGTCTCTTGTACCCAGCCTTGCTCGGCTCCTCTGAGGCAGAGAACCAATGGGCATCTGAACCTGCAAGACAATGGTGTGATTTCTTAGAGCGGCTGTGACCACAGCATCTGAGTATTCAAATCCCTACAGCGCCCCCTGTTCAGCCCATCTTCTACAAAGTAGAGAATCATTCTGTCTGTATGGAGAAGTTCACCCCTCACCATCACACTGCTTCTATTCTAGGAGTCAGTTTCATGTATCTGGACAACATGCTTTATCACTTCTTAGAAGTTTTAAATAGAAACAGAAAAGAAGTAAATAATGTTAAAATTTAAATTGAATGTTATTGCATTTGTTTTAATATGAAGCTATGCAGCATGTTAATGAAAAGGTTTGAGTTAAAGCTTAGTTCGGATGAAAGTCTTCACAGGTTGAACCTCTAGATCACTTATAATTCAGTTCTTAAAGTTAAAGTTCTTAAGTTAACTACTATGAATCTAATATGTGAGGTTTGTGTGAGAGTGAAGAAGAGACATTCAGACCCACCTCACTTTGGAGTTTGGAGGGGTTTTTTTTGTTTGTTTCTGTTTATAAAAAGCTGTAAAAGTTCTGTTTAATCATTTGATGTGGTTGGAAGTTTTAGCAGTCCACCCTCTACTGCAGTACATACGCTGTGGTCACTGCTAAATACACCCTCATATATAAGATATAGTTCACAGGAAGAAAGAAAGAGAAGAAGACATTTACAGCATTTCTTTTTTCATGAAATCATAATAGTAAAGTGCTGTTGCTAGACTGGGTAAAAAGTTGCACTTTACTTAGAAAAAACATGATCCAAAAGACAAACACTTGACAGATAAGGTTCATGCCGTTTGATGGAAAAGTCTTGCAAACAAAAGGCAAAGCTAGATGTCCTGAATCCCTCGGAGTAAAGCTTACAAATAACCATCAACAAATCTAATCCTTTGTGTAATCCATGGTCCAGCATAGTTCTGGAACCACACAGAACCCCTGCCCCACCCCTGGAGATCAGAATATTTGGTTCTGTAGTTTATGAGCTCCAACCCCACACTTATATACTTTAATCACAATGCATCTACAGGTCCAGTGTTTACAGTGTCATCCTGAAACTGCTCCTTTTAGGAGTTAGAAAATTGCTTTTGTGTTACAGTGCTCAATCCAAATAGACTGTAGCAAAGAAATGTCTGGTGGGCTTTAACTGTATTTTGTCTGACCAAATAACATTGTTCCAAAAGAGTTCTGATTTGTCTAAGTGATTGTGAGCAAATTTTAGATGCACACCTGTTTTTTTGTGTATTGACAGGGATGTTTAAGGTCTTTGCTAAGGCTCTGTAGCTACTTCTATTTGAATGTTATTTAATAACATTTAGAACATTAGAAAGCTCTTTCAGATGCACCGGCAGCTGCCATGCTTCTCGGGCACCAGCTCCTCCCACAGATGATACATGACATCTTGTGGTGCATTCAGAGGCTATTGCAGATGCTGCTATTGCAGCCCACAGCAGTTGGGGATCCATCCACTGCACTGGCACTTCACTCACGAAAGCTGTGGTAACTTGACAGCACACAGCACGCCCTGCCCCCCAGAGATCCACCAACCAGCCCTGATGCTGTGAGTTCAGCTCCTGCAGAGGCTGGCAGCTTCTCCCAAGGGGAACAAAGGCCACACTGCCAGGGAGGTCTGACTCTCTGCCTCAGCTCTGCAGCTAGCATTTGACTCAGGCCCCCTGCTATGACTAGGAGCCACTTCTTCCCTCTCATGTCAACTTGGCCACTGGTGATGGACTTAAGTTGGATGGTCATTGCTGCCCAGTGGGCCAGTGTGCCACTCTCAGTGCAAGGGAGCATGCCTAGTCATAGTAGCAACACCGTCCAGCCGGTGTCAATGAGGGCAGTAAGGTATTTCCAGTCTATGCTGCACTTGACCCAATGTCCACGACGGCAGCTGATCTTCCTGGCTGGCACCCAATTTCCCACCGTCTCAGGTTTGCGGCAATGACTGGCGCAGTGTCCCCTCTTCCTGCACTGCCAGCACACTGGCGCTCTGCTGCCACTTCCTCTGGGACCACTCTGCACGTTCTCTCCTCCTCAAACTCCTTTGCAACATAGCACTGTGTTGCTCGCTGCAGCATCTCTATGTCGAGGATGAGTTCTGCCCTTTCTGCCTTGGCTGTGGCTGCTTGAAGGCTGGCCAGTGTGGCGAGCTGCAGGTGCCATCTCAGCTCCTCTGGCAGCAGTGTGTTTAGGAAGTGCTCCAGTGCCAAGTCCTCATACTTTCTTGAACACCAGATATGCCTGTCAAACCATCATGCTCAGCTACACTTGACTCTCCTTTTGCCCTCCACCTCTCCAGGAGCAGCCACCTGACCTACCACACTGCCTGCACCTTCCTGAAACATCACTAGAGAGCCGAGGTCAATGCCGCTAGGTCATCATGTTGTCCCAGCATCAGAGCCACAAGGAAGGCAAGGCGAGTTTATTTATATAGCACCTTTCAAACACTGCTGTCATTCAAAGTGTTTTACAAATGAGAAAAGCACAAATAGAAAAGTGTTTAAACTGAACTAAAAGCTGCTCAAACAGCAACGTTTTAAGCCTGGATTTAAAAGTGTCCACTGCACAGCTCTCCATGTTTAGTTTTTACCTTCAGCAGGACTAACTGACTAGTTTCTAATGATCTGAGAGCTCTGTTAAGCTCATATGTCTGCAACATATGAAATAAATATGCTGGTCCTGCACCATTGAGCAATTTATAGACCAGTAGTAGTGTCTCTTCTGTTACAGACTGGTAGCCAGTGTAAGGATTTAAGAATGGGGGTGATGTGTTCCCTTCTTTTACTCCTAGTGAGACTCTGGCAGCTGCATTTTGAATCATCTAAAGCTCTTTGATTGTCTTTTTTGGGCGTTCAGTTAGGAGATCATTACCGTAATCAATCCTGCTAGAAATAAAGGTGTGGATGAGTTTCTCCAGGTCTGCTTTAGTCAGAAAATCTCTAATCCTGTTGATATTCTTAAGGTGATATAAAGCTGATTTAGTAACTGCTCTTACATAACTGCCAAAACTGAGATCAGAGTCTATCAGTACACCAAGGTTACGTACTAGTCTTTTAGATTTTAGGGCTTTTGAATCCAGATAGGCAGCTAGTCTTTGCCTCTCATTGCTATTCCCAAATAAAATGATCTCTGTTTTATCTTTATTTAACTGCAGAAAGTTTTGTTCCATCTAGTCAGTGATGTGCTCAAGGCACTTACAGAGTGAGTCAAGGGAACCATATTTGTTTAGGGAGAGAAGTAGTTCTGGATATCATCTGCATAGCTGTGGCAGGATATCGCATAATCTTGTAGTGTTTGGCCAAGAGGCAGCATGTATAAATTGAATAAAAGTGGCCCAAGAATTGAACCCTGGGGGACACCACAGGTCACTGGCACTCTGTCAGAAATATTATTTTCAATTTCCACTACTAGTCACTTCCTTGCAAGTATGAACTGAACCATTTTAGGACAGTTCCTGAGAGCCCAACCCAGTTCTCAAGTCTATCTATGAGAATTATGCACACATAGTTCTTTCCCCTCTAGTGTTAAACACAGCTGTGTCACAGTGGTGGTCACCATCCAGCCATTATTCCAGGCAAGCACTTGCAGCTGTGTAGAGTACAACTACCAGGCACCCTTGCCAGTGTAGCATGGTAAGGAAATACATGCTGTCTCTCTCTTGCCAGGCTCCAGCTGTGCTCTGCTGCCGAGCCTCACTGTGGTGTTTCCTTTGCTGTCTTCTTGCTCTCAGCTGGCTGGACCCATCTGAGATGGGGCAATCATAGTGCTTCATACCCCCTTCCTCCAGGCTAAGTCTTCTTTGCCGCCCACCTTTAAGTTTGTTAAAGTGCCACACGATTTCTTCAAACCTGGTGGCCAAATCCCACTTCTGACACCAGAGTAGTGGAGGGCACAGAAGGCATGGACAACATTGTGCATACAGGTAAATGCTCTTTTATTTTGAACAGGGACTTCAACAAAGGCAGTGAAATGCCCAGCTCAGCGCTACCCCTACACAAAACATAGGAAGGGGATAATGCAGGAGGACACAATATACTTATTGAATTGTGTCTGCCTCTGTAAGCAGTGTTCATTTCGCAAATATTAATTCATAATGTCATAATTACTATGAGTCACTGCACCAATGTACTTGTCAATTTTCACGTTTAAAACAAGTTTGTTTCGTCTTGCTTTACATTACTTAAATTATTATATTTTTAATATATTTCAATGTATCGTGCATATGTATGTTTATTTGGATTTGTAGTAATTATAACATTAATATTACATTTTTCTTAAAATGAAAACAATCAGGTGATAGAAACATTTGTTCGTAGTAACCCATCATACTTTTTAGTTTTTGTTACAAGTGCTAATCATTGTGATTGAGCACTGGAATGAATTTTATCAAAAGTTTAAGATCATGACTAAATCAAACTATAATGTGTGTCATTGCATGACCAGTCACATCACCGATTTCCATGAGAAAATTCAAAGAAAAAATCTGACATAGTATATGTTCCCATACAAAAACGTTTTGAGGGCATTTATTAAATTAACTATTAACTAAACTACTTCTAAACTAAACTATGAACTAAAATGAGATATTATTTGTAATGTTGTATAAAATACACATTTCGGCTGGGTTCAGTCAATCTGTAAACAGCTAAACTCAGTATATAAAATTTTAAAGAGCAACTTTTAACATAAGTAATAAAAAACTAATTAAAAACTAATTTTTCTGAGATTAACTAAGCCGTATAATCTATTTACTTGCTACATTTAACATATTGGAAATAAAATGTTTAATATGTTGAAGTCAGAAAAAAAGAACAGTTTTCTCATTCTTTTTCCAACAATATACACTCATTGGGCACTTTACTGGGTACACCTCCTTGTCTCTACACTCATTGTTCATTTTATCAACTGCTCTTACCTTATGCACTGTGTAGTTCTACAATTACAGACTGTAGTCCATCTGTTTCTCTGCATACTTTTAGCCCCGTTTTACTCTGTTGTTCAATGGCGAGAACAAGCTTGAAATTGCAAGTAACCCTTTAATCGTGCAAAGGGTTCTTTGAATTTTCATGGTTCTATATAGTACATTTTTTTACTAAAGAACCCTTGAAGAAACATATTTTAAAGGGTGTTGTATAAAACACTACAATACTATTGTGACACTTCAACAGAATCCAGACGCTCGCAGTGTAAAAAAGGCGAAAGGAGATTTAATGGAATCAGGCAAAAACGAAGTCAAAAAACAAGCAGGGGTCAAATCCAAACAGCCAATACAAAACACAACGATGATAAAATCACCATGTGAACAAAACCAGGGGGCAAGACAAAAGGGCAAGTCGAAAAACAGTCCAGTAATTCAAAAAACACAGAACACAAATCACAGGCAACAGTATCCAAAAGGGTAAAGGCAAAAAGCAGAGTCGAGTAAACAAAGCAAAGGGTCAAATACACAGCAGAGTAAAGATCAGAAATAACGCTCAGTAAGGTTCGGAAAGAAACAATACCTCGCACTGATCTTCCCTAAAGCCCGGGCTTAAAAACTATCCTGTCCTGATCATATGATCTAAAGCACAGTTGCCAATACTCAGTACTCAGGAGAATGAGAGCGCTGATAGGAGCACGAGATATTGTCCGAAGTCATGTGGTCCCCTTGAGGATCGTGGGAATTGGAGTCCGTATCATCCCTTGATACTGGCAAATGCGTGACAGTACCCCCCCCAAAGAGTCCGGGCGGGTTTCGGAACGAGGACAACCCGGACGACCACCACGCACACCACCGGATCCCGGAACAGAGGCAGACCCAGAACTGCCTAGGCGCTGAACTCGCGGTTCCTCCTCCTGAGAGTTCCGTAGACGAGGCGGCAACGAGCTGGCGAGCCTCTTGCGCGGTCGACCCCTGGGATGGGGAGCAGGTTTCTCCGGATGCTGACTGTGGAAATCAGCAATGAGGGCTGGGTCCAGCACATCCTTAGCAGCAACCCAACATTGCTCCTCCGGGCCATACCCCTCCCAATCCACCAGGTACTGCAGGATCCCGCCTCGTCTCCACGAGTCCAGCAACCCACGGACAGCGTACACCGGTGCCCCATCTATCAGTTCCGGTGGTGGGGGTGTGTCCTTCGGGGTCGCCTCATCCAAGGGCCCTGCAACAACAGGTTTCAATAGAGAAACATTAAAGGACGTGAAACCCTGAATCTCGGGGGTAAGTTCAATCTATATGTGACTTCATTGACCCGTTTCTCTACTTTAAAGGGTCCAATGTATTTGGGCTGGAGTTTTTTGCTACTTCCCTCTGCTCTGCGGAAGTCCCGGGTGGCCAGCCATACTCGATCTCCCGGCTGAAACATCGGTGTTAGACCCCTATGACGATCCGCTTTCTCCTTGTGCCTTTGAATCACATGCTCGATGCGTCGGTGCATCTCCTCCCACACCTGTTCACTCCGATTCATCCATTGGTCCACTGCAGGCACATCAGTTTGTGCACCCGTCCAAGGTGCTAAGGGGGGTTGATAGCCTAAAATGCACTGGAAAGGGGTCATATCCGTAGTAGAGCTGGTTAGAGAATTTTGTGCGATCTCTGCCCAAATTAAGTATTCAGCCCAGTCCGGGGGGTTCTCATAACAGAAAATTCTCAGAAACTTTGCCAGTTCTTGATTTACTTGCTCACATTGTCCGTTTGTTTGTGGGTGATACCCTGAGGAAAGGCTAATGGAAACCCCAATATGTTCAAAAAAGGCGGCCCATACTTGGGAGGTGAATTGAGGGCCCCGATCTGAGACTATGTCCTCCGGGATACCGAAAAAACGAAACACATGATGAAACAAAGTCTGAGCAGTTTGAAATGCACTGGGAAGTGCCGCAAAAGGGACAAACCTCACTCCCCGGGAAAACGAGTCTACTACTGTTAAGATGGTGGTATATCCCTGTGAAACGGGTAAATCAGTAACAAAATCTATCGCTATGTGGGACCAGGGTCTATTAGGCACGGGTAAGGGCACCAATTTCCCAGCAGGTAGCGTCTTTGGGGTCTTGCACTGTGAACAGACTGAACAGGAGGAAACAAAAGTGTGAATGTCTTTAATCATTGACTCCCACCAGTAGCAATGTGATAAAAGTTTAAGTGTACGGGTCTCGCCCGGATGTCCGGAGGTGAGGGAAGAATGAGCCCATGTTATGAGCTGGGTACGGAAGGCCTCCGGTACATACAGTTTATCTGGAGGACACTGAGTGGGTATTTCTCGGTTAACGAGTGCTTTTTCGATGTCTTCATCGATCTGCCAGCGAATGGAAGAGATGTTGATTTCTGGAGGGAGTATGTGTTTGGACGATTCAGTTGCTGAGGGGGTCTTATCTCCTTCGTGGATTCGGGATAGCGCATCAGCTTTGGTATTGCGAGAACCGGGCCTAAAAGTTATGTTAAAGCGGAATCTGGCGAAGAAAAGTGACCACCGGGCTTGTCTGGCGTTAATTCTCTTGGCTGTGCGGAGATATTCAAGGTTCTTGTGGCCTGTCAGAACAGTAAACGGAAAATTGGCTCCCTCTAGCCAGTGACGCCACTCTTCCAGGGCGAGCTTAACTGCTAACAGTTCACGGTCCCCGATACCATAGTTCCCCTCAGTGGTTGACAACTTATGGGAAAAGAAAGCTATGGGGTGTAGTTTTTGTGGGGATCCTGACCTTTGTGATAGTACAGCCCCAACTCCTGTTTCTGAGGCATCGACTTCTACTATAAACGGCTGTGTGGGATCTGGGTGTTTCAAAACGGGGGCTGTGGTGAACGCTTCTTTAAGTTTCTGAAACGCACGTTCTGCAGAGTCATTCCAGATGATCTTTTTTGGACTGCCCTTTAATAGGGAGGTCAATGGGGAGGCTATGGTGCTGAAGTTTCTAATAAATCGGCGATAAAAATTAGCAAACCCCAAAAATCTTTGAAGGTCCTTTACTGAGGTGGGTGTGGGCCAGTGAGCTACCGCTTCTACCTTGTTATCATCCATAGTGACTCCTTGAGGGCTAATGATATATCCTAGAAAGGATACTGACTGCAAATGAAACTCACATTTTTCCGCTTTTAAGAACAAATTGTTCTCGAGGAGTCTTTGGAGAACTAAACGAACATGTTTCACATGTGTATCTAAATCAGGCGAGTAAACGAGGATGTCATCTAAGTAGGCAATAACAAACTGGCCTAACATGTCTCTGAGTGTGTCGTTGATGAATGCCTGGAACACCGAGGGGGCGATAGAGAGCCCAAAAGGCATCACCTGATACTCGTAGTGCCCCCTAGTGGTCAAAAATGCGGTCTTCCATTCGTCTCCCTTCCTTACTCGGATCAAGTTATAAGCACTACGTAAGTCTAGCTTAGTGAAGAATTTAGCTCCTTTGAGTTGTTCTAGTGCTACTGGAACTAAGGGAAGCGGATAGGGGTAGGCTTTTGAGATCTGATTAAGGGCTCTATAATCAATACATGGACGAAGTCCTCCATCTTTCTTTTTAATGAAAAAGAAACCAGAAGCAATGGGAGACGTAGAGGGCCGGATAAAGCCTTGTTCTAGGGCCTCCTGAATGTAAATATCAAGGGCTTTTTGTTCTTCCTGTGTCAGTGGGTAGACTCGTGCTTTGGGGAAAATAGGATTTTCAACCAGATCGATAGCACAGTCGTAGGATCTCTGCGGGGGTAATTTGGTGGCATTTTTCTTGTTGAAAACTTCCTTTAGATCTGCATACTCGGGGGGAATCTCAACTACCGTGTCAGCATTGGGGCTTTCAATAGATGTGGACAAAAGGGCTATGGATGGAGTGATTAAACAAGAGTGGGCACAATAGTCCGACCATTTAGTAATGGTATGTTCGGGCCAAGAAATTACAGGATTGTGTTTTTCCAACCACGGAAGTCCTAAAATGAGTTCGAATTCTGAGTGGTCTAGAACTAAAAAGGACAGAGTTTCCTTGTGACATGCACTGATCTGTAGCTCCACTGGGTGCGTGACTCGGGAGATGGTGCCTAAACCCACTTCATCCAACGCTGCCACTCTTAATTGATTCTCTAGTGACTTGACTGGTATCTGCAACTGCTCCACAAGCTTGGCGTGAATGAAGTTTCCCTCTGCTCCCGAATCGATCAGAGCTGAAACGATATGAGAATGGAGACGACAGTATATAATTGCATTCAACATTACAGATTTAGAAACCAACCCCTTTGTGGGAACACTCACCACATTAGCGAGTGAACTCCACGTGCTGTCCAGGGGTCGGCGCCTTAGTTTTTTTCGGGCGGGTTCGGCACAACTTGGTGTCCCGCCTTGCCACAATACAAACAAAGATGGTTTCGCAAACGATACTGCCTTTCCTCTGGAGATAGCCGCGAGGAATCACATTGCATGGGTTCTGTGGTTTCTGGGTGCTCTGGCAGAACCCTTCCCCGAGGCAATCCCCTCCTCTGATCCCGTGTAGCCTTCGGCCGTGAGCGAGAGTGCAACAAGTGATCCAACTTAATAGCTAACGTAATAAGTTGGTCGAGAGTTAGATCATCGTCTTTACTGGCAAGTTCATTTAAAATCTCTGTATTCAATCCTTGGCGAAACATCACTAGTAACGCCGCCTCATTCCACCCGCTGCTAGCAGCGAGAGTTCGAAACTCCAGCGAGTAATCAACTACAGAGCGCGTTCCCTGACGTAGCTTACATAATAATTCTCCGCCTACTTTCCCTTCGTAAGGATGATCGAACACTCTACTGAATTGAGTGAGGAATTGGGCGTATGTCATGTGGTGAATCGCAGTCCAACTAGCTGTAGCCCATTCTAAGGCTTTTCCGGTTAAACGGGAAATAACAAAAGATATCTTAGCTTGATCTGAGCTAGGAGGGGAATTTTCAAAAAACACTGAGCATTGTAGTAAAAACCCCTACATTTATCCGGATCCCCATCGAACTTATCCGGTTTACTCACTGGGAAAACTGCCCCTGCGTGATCCGCTGCCGTGGTAGAAGGCGTTGGATTAACTGCGGAATCTACGAGGCTCATATTTTGTAGTTGTCCCGTCAAATCTTTAACACTCGTGACCAATTGGGCCAGCTGGGCTTGTTGTTCCGCCTGTTGTTGAGCTAGGGATTCTAGTGAATGGGTAACTCCTGACAGAACCTGTTGGTGACGACCCAAAAGTTGCCCTTGTTCAGCGAGAGCCTTATGAAAGGCTTCCTGTTCCGCCATCTGCATCGTAGGCGAGGTATTCTGTGACACTTCAACAGAATCCAGACGCTCGCGGTGTAAAAAAGGCGAAAGGAGATTTAATGGAATCAGGCAAAAACGAAGTCAAAAAACAAGCAGGGGTCAAATCCAAACAGCCAATACAAAACACAACGATGATAAAATCACCGTGTGAACAAAACCAGGGGGCAAGACAGAAGGGCAAGTCGAAAATAGTCCAGTAGTTCAAAAAACACAGAACACAAATCACAGGCAACAGTATCCAAAAGGGTAAAGGCAAAAAGCAGAGTCGAGTAAACAAAGCAAAGGGTCAAATACACAGCAGAGTAAAGATCAGAAATAACGCTCAGTAAGGTTCGGAAAGAAACAATACCTCGCAATGATCTTCCCTAAAGCCCGGGCTTAAAAACTATCCTGTCCTGATCATATGATCTAAAGCACAGATGCCAATAATCAGTACTCAGGAGAATGAGAGCGCTGATAGGAGCGCAAGATATTGTCCGAAGTCGTGTGGTCCCCTTGAGGATCGTGGGAATTGGAGTCCGTATCATCCCTTGATACTGGCAAATGCGTGACAACTATAGCATGATAAAGATTAAATAGACTCAATATATACAAGTTCAGTGTGGAAGACATTATTCAAAAACCAGAGTGATACTACAAACTACACAGCAGTGTTCAGTGAGTGAGGCAGAGAGAGTCAGTGTTTACTGCTTAGAGTCCTCATGGCCTGTAGACAGAAGCTGGTTTTAAAGCAGGTGGTGTACACTGTGAAGCTATGAAAGTGTTTACAGAGGAGAGAGTCGAGAACAATGCAGTACAGATGCTTTTTGAAGTCATTGTAACAGTGTTTATGCAGAAGTGTAAGATCCTGGACAGGTTGCCAAACCACACTTTGATAAATCTAGTCAGAAATATGTCTATGGTGCAGCAGTAAAACACTATCATAGCTGTTGAGGTCATTCTGAAGATGGGTCTACTTTTTGCATCTTATAGCCTTTTTTTCTAAGAGGCTTTAATTTCCTGTTTCTATTGTTGTTTTTGTTATTGAAACCATGAAGCAATTAATGGAAATGACTGCCAACTGTAACAAAAATTTTAATTCCAAATAGTTTTGAGAGGTTTACATTGGTGTGATTTGTTTGGATAAGCCAGGTTTGCAACCCAGCAGTAGCCATTTGCACATTACGCTCTATTTTTACACACACTGATGTGAATGGACAGGGCCCAGTTCAACTTCCTGTTATGGGAGCCAGTTAGCTTTCAGCACAGAGTAATAAAGCTGCTCTCATAGAGGTTCAAGTACAGAGCGAAGCATGCGTCTCAAATGACTACTTCCTACAAAAACCGTAAGTGACCTCGTAGAAAAACTATATATATATATATACATATATATATATATATGTGTGTGTGTGTGTGTTGTTTATATATACATATATATATATATATATATATATATATATGAAACTGAGCATATAACTGAATCCTAAAACTAATACTTTTTATATTTTTTATCAGGAGAAATATCACTTGAGGAGTTTGGCAATGATTCGACTTTATGTAACAGTTTTGCTCTCTACAGCATTAGGTACTGCTTAAGTGTGTTTGTAATTTTTTTGGTAATGAAGTTCATTTTCCTTGGTTTACTTGGAAAGGGCACAAATAGATAACAGTAGATTCTAACTTTATTTTTTTTTATTATTATTATTTTTTAGGCAGCACATCAAAGGTAGACATTACCTCCTGTCTAAATGGTCTGAAGGTCATTCAGGATGGAGAAAATATTAGTCTACATTGTTCTACTTCATATTCCCATGTGACAGCGATTGCATGGTTCAAACAGACTCCAGGAGAAAAAGCTCTTCTCATTGCTTCTGCTTTCTGATTCTACACCACAATATCACAATGATTTTAACAAGAGCGGCCGCTTTACTGCAGTGAAAGGACAAAGCAGTTTTACTCTGAGTATCTCAAATGCAGAACCATCTGATTCAGCTACATATTACTGTTCTGTTGTGTATTATATAGATGTTGCATTATTAGGCTGCACAGTTTTAGTCCTCAAAGGTAGGTGTTCGTCTACTACAGTCTGCTTTTATTAAATAGTGTCAATTTTGAAATCTACATTTTTCTACAAAGCAAACCTTAATCTACATTTCATTCAGCATCAATCATTTTCCTCTCTTTAGGTTCATCTTCAAGTCTCTCTGCTGTTCTCCAGCCTCCTGTATCAGATCCTGTTGTACTGGGAGGAGATACAACTTTGCAGTGTTCAATACTCACAGATACGTCTGCAGGAGAACACAGTGTGTACTGGTTCAGACATGGATCAGGAGAATCTCATCCAGGAATCATTTACACTCATGGAAACAGGAGTGATGAGTGTAAGAAAAGCTCTGAGACTGATTCTCCTACACAGAGCTGTGTCTACAAACTCCCCAAGAGAAACCTCAGCCTCTCTGATGCTGGAACTTACTACTGTGCTGTGCTCATGTGTGGAGAGATCATCTTTGGGAACGGAACTAAACTGGACTTTGTAGGTAAGAGCAGATATTTTCAATCCCTTCAAACAGCCTCAAGAAAAAAACCTCAAATACCAAATCTTTTCTTTAAACGTCTGAGAAAATGTAATTTCTATTGAAAATGAATTTCCTTATACAGAATATAATTGATGCCTGATGTAGATTTACCCTGCGCTGTGAGGAGGAGTGTTAAAGTTGTTTTGCTAAGAGAGGGGGCAGTGTACGGGGGCTTTAGCCTACATAGAGCAATTTAAGCGTAAAGTGAACAAAGTACATCCTCACACTGTTTCTGCTGACTTGCAAATCAGCATTAAACAATATTAGTGCTAAGAATAGTGTCTTGTGCTCTCTGAACAGTAGCTAGAAGAGCAAGTAAAAATCAGCTTCCCATTGCAAAAACAGGTTTGTTCTGTTGTCTGTCATTAAAACACATTTTTTTCTCATTGTTATTCTTAACCCACATATATTACATAGGACATTACATTGATGTTGTAGTAGACTTTGCGGTAAAAGTACAGAAAACAATTCTAGTTATAAATGTTGAAAAAATTCCATTTATAAAAGCAGGGCAGTGTTTTGATGCATTAACTGCACATTTAATTCATGTTTAGCTCACATTTAATGCACTTTGTAAAATACATCAGAACACAGGTATATCTTTAAATATTCCAGCTCATATTATTATGACTCACAAGATGAATTCAGACTGTAAATCAAATGAAGTGATAAAATAAATGCAGGCTATAAATAAAAAAAATCATTAAATATTATATATATATCTATATGCTTATATACATATATATAATAAGTACATATATAAATGTATGGGAATATTTGCAGACAGTTGACAGCTCTTCAGAAACTCAGAAAGTCTTTCTCAATTAATAATATTTTGTAAACTAATAGGTAGAGACAGTTCCTCTTTAGGAGGTAACTGAATCGTCTGCTGTAGATGGTGGACTTTTTTGACAAGCCAGTGCTCCAAATGGGAATATTTTGTAGAATATTAATGTAAGAACCGCATACGTTGAGAATTTTTTGTTACAATTCTGTGCATGTGGCGCTTGTCTTCACTTGTACGGCCACCCTCACTTACAGTGACAATGCAAAATCAGTGATAAAAATGTGTCATCAATAATATAGGATTTGTACCTTTATCAGCAACCCAAAAATTATTAAATGATTTCAGAAAGTCAGAGAGACATGCTAACTCCCCCAATTTTGTGGAACAAAAATGCTGTTTTGTCTTCATGTCACTTCACATAAACATTTGTGGTCTATGATGTAGCCATTGACTTTTATTTGATTTGGGATACTAGATACAATTTTATTTCCTTAAATAATTTTTATGCTTATTTCATTTTTTCTACACATCATTCATGACAAATTTTAATTAAATTACAAAGATGTGTTTTCTTATTATAGACAAAAGTGTTTTGGTCCCTGTCACTCTTGGTTTAGCAGCATTAACCATCATCTCCATGGCTGTGGTTCTATTTCTGTACAGAAAATTACACAACAGTCGTCAGAAAGGTAAAAAACTGACATTACTGTTGAGTTTGCATTGGTAATTAATGCAGTTTTATGATCTCCATGATTTAATAGCTTTGAATGATTTACCTTATTGTTTCTTGAAGATGCTGCTGAAGGTCACACAGTCCAAGTAAATCAGGTGAATAATTCATTTTTTCTGACCCCAACCTTTAGAAACTCTCAACTGTTAGATAGTAAACCCTCTAAGTTTTGCAGTAAAATGTGTTAGACACTGTTTCCTTCTTCAGGGTGAATGTGATGAAGCTTTGAACTATTCAGCACTGAGTTTCACTAATAAACCACCGTCATCCAGAGGAACTAGAAGACAACAGAAGCTTAAAGACACTGAAGTTTACTCGCAGATCAAACATCCCCAATAAAGCTGAGTTACTGAAACTGAAAAGAGTCTTCTGACCCTTTGCTGAGGTTCACTCGTAACATCAGCTGATGATAGTTGGACATTTGGTTCGATGACTATGTGAATGTAATCAATGATAAATTAATTAACCCTTTTGCTTTTCTGTGGTTTGTATTAAATCACCCTTCCTTCTTATTAACATTAAAGATAACTTCAAGCATTCCAAAAAACTTAAGACCCTTTTTTGGATGTTACTTTTGACCCTTTTTTTTTAAACTTGTTTGGAAATGCCTGTTGGCCTTTACATTGTGTGTAAACTTTATGATGAATGGAATAAAAGAAAAATTCTGGTTCCACTGACTTACTTTAAAGGTAAAGTAGGTTTTTGTAAAGTTACCATATATATATATGCCACTTCAAAACATGCTGTCAGTTATAAAAGTGTGAAGGCATCTGTCACTCCGAGCCATGTGTGACAACTAAACCCCTCCCAACACTGACACCACCTCCCCCTTCTCTTCTGAGTATGAGAAAGAGACCACCCCCTGGACTGCTGCCATTGAACACGCACAGAGCTGCTCTTTCAGTTCAGGTCCTGATATGAGTTTCTCTTATGACCTTAACTTCTGCAGTTTGTTTTGCTGGCCCAGCATGTCTAGATATTTAACTTAAATAAACCTTAATAAGGCACCAATAAATAAAGCACCAGTTTGGTTGATCTATACTTCACCTTCTTAAACCTTAAACATTGTTTTGCTACAATATATTACATCAAGGGTTCCCTGCCATGGTCCTGGAGCAGCTGTACACTTTAGCACTTTCCCTGATACAAACACACCTGATCCAAATAATCTGCATGTCAACAAGCACTTTGTGAGCTGAAGAAGGTGTATTTCAGAAGTAAAACACAAAAAGGTGTAGGGCAGGGTTACTCCAGGACCAGGGTTTGGAACCTCTCTTTTACATTATTGTAGACATGACCCATACGTAGCTATTTAGTCTCAAAAGCTGTCTTCTTGTAAATGACATGCAAATTTATGACATTAGAGGCAGCAGCAAGGTTAAAAGTCAGATTATGATTTT